TTTGCTGATAAAAGAGATCCAAACCGTGAATAGTAAGGGAGGACTGAGAATCAGGTTGTGATCTTATAAAAGAGCTTTAGAACAAAGGCTATTTCATCGAACGAAGGAGGAGGAAGGAAGAGTCGTGTGCGGCGACATTGTCTCTTTGTTTTCTTTTGTATAGAAGCTTAAAAAATCAGACTCGAAACCCTAGTCCCTCTCCTCTTTCTTTATTAATTTGATTCCAATCCCCACTATTAGAAAATAAATTAAAACCTAATTTATAATAAAAAAAGAGGGAAAATATGTTTAGTTTATTTTTAAGGGTGTAATCTCAATCCCTAAACATGGCATTTACTTTTTATCTAAAGCATGTTATAGGAATTATAATTGTTAAGTGCTACAAGACAAGTTATAAATGAATTATAAACACAAAAACAAATGTGTTTAAGGCCATACACCGCGAGTCGGGGAGCTCCCCCCTAACCGGGCGCTTCGCCACTCAACTCTGACTCGCTGACTAGATAGCGAGACCCCGTGATTTATGCTCGTCGGCACATATTAGACTTTTCAGTCATAGCAGCAAGAGTAAAGAACATGAAACAATCAATCATACACTTACCCCCCACCTTTCTCTCCCTACAGATTGTACGCTATATATGTAGTGGTGCATGCAATCTCGCATAATATCTTAAGATTAATGATCTCAAGACCCCCTTCACTTCCAGTCGACAACATATAATTAGACTTTAAGTCATACAAACAAGAGCGGAGGACATGAAGCGAGCAACCATATAGTGATGTCCCTTACATATTGTATGATATATGTAGTAGTGTAAGCAAGCTCTCATAATATCTTAGGATGAAAAATATGTAGATTAACCATCTGAATAGTCCATTAATAATTAGCCCACAAGTTAATGAATTACCTCGAGATCTATACTATTGAGTGGTTTCTGAGCTTCAATCGAAATAACTTGCTAGTCATATTATCAAGATGGCTCATGAGCTTCAATCGAGTTAGCTCACGAGCCATTGAATTAAGTTAGCTCACTACTTTAATGAGCTGAACAAGAAGCTCAGGCTTGACCCATTAGTAAACAAAGGAGCCAACTCACTAAGCAACGAGGCAGGCACCTTTTTCTCGAGCCAAGTGCCAAGCCGTTCTCAAACAGCTTCTCATTTGCTCCCCTACTTTTGAGTGAATCTTTTGTTTAGTCGGGTGGTTCAATGAGACATACTCGAGTTTGATCATTGGGTTTACGGACTTGGTGGATCGGGTTTAAATTTTCCGTGTTAAAATTAGGTTATTTAGTAGTTATGTCAACCACATCATAAAAATACAGACGGTTTTAACAAAATCTAGCGAAAGTTAACGACTAGTGGCCAAAATTAATTTTTTTGTTATCAAATAACAAGGAAGAGGAACATATACAAGAGTAAGGGTAGTGACACAAGAAAAGAGGGGAGATATAGCTTTCTTATTCATGTGTTACTTAGTACAAGAAGATCTTCTATTTATAGGCGCACATCACATAACCTCTACATTCTTACAATCGATAGACATGAATGTGAGAATGAATGGAGAATTGAAAGGGGTTGAGTGGTTACATGTAACATCCAATAGTGCATCTAATGTAATGGTCATCCATATTAATATTTATATAATGCTCCCCTTGGATGACCACTAGATCACATTACGCTATCTTATGTTGCCTCATTAAAAACCTTATCAGAAAAACCCAGTGGCAAAAACCATGGTTAAGGAAAAAGAGTGCAGTGCGTATATGCTCCCCCTTATGACAACGTTAGCTCAGGTCTTTGAGTCGTTGAACTCCAATTTCATGAATAAGCTTTACAAAGATTGTCGTTGGGAGTGCTTGGTGAATAAATTTGCTAGATTCTCACTTGAATGAACCATTTGAACAATTATTTCACCACTCTTTTGAAGATCATGAGTGAAAAGAACTTGGGTGGAATATGTTTTGTTCTATCGCATTTAATGTATCCTTCTTTAATTAAGCAATGCATGTTGCATTATCTTCATACAGGATCGTCGGGATCATTTTTCCTAGAGATAGTCCACAAGATTCTCTGATGTGTTGAATTATAAATCATAACCTAACACATTCACGACTTGCTTCGTAAATTGCTAAGATTTTCACATGATTGGATGATGTGGCTGTTATAGTTTGTTTTATGGATGGATACGAAATGGTTGTACCACCTAAGTGAACAAATATCTTGTCTGAGATCTACCATTGTGGGGATCTAAGAGATATCCTTCATCTGCATATAACACTAAATCCAACTTTGATGCACTCGAATAGATCAAGCCCATATCCGTTGTTCCTCGAAGGTAACAGAGTAAATGTTTAACTCCATTCCAATGTCTTTTAGTGGGAGAAGATCTAAATATTGCCAATAAATTCACAGCGAACGATATATCGAGTCGTGTGTGACTGGCTATATACATTAATGCTCCAATTGCACTAAGATATGACACTTTAGGGCTGAGCAATTCTTCATTACTTTCTCGAGGTCTAAATGGATATCTTTTCACATCAAGTGATCTTACAACCATTGGTGATATGCCAAAACACAACACCTAACAATGGCCAAGTGTAACCAATGAAAGGGACTGCAGTATAGTGGCACAAGTAATAAATATCGAATCCACGGGTCTCTAGAGTTACTATTACTCAGCTTCAGTTCATTATCTAGCAAACTAGATTAAGGATTGATTAACTAAACTACTCTACTAACTAAACTAAGTAAAACTACTAATTACAGTTTGGGAACTCACTTAGGTATGGTTCCCCCTAGCTCCTCAATTAGGTCCAAGTTGTAATTCATTTTGGTTGATTTACTGTTGATTAAACTGCGGAAGATCCGACAGTAGCTTGGAATCTCTTAAGCTGACCAAGCCCTCTCAGTCTAACTATCCGGCAGACGACTAGTCTTCACCGGGATAGAAAGCTGAAGCAATAAGCACAGAACTCCACTACTGGAATTGGATTCCAGTACAAAGCAGTAAACTGGCTAACTCTCGTATAGCCAATCTCCTACTACCGAATGATGAGACTCTAGCAACCTAATCAGATTCTATCTATCTCAGATTGCAGCAGAAATCAGGAAAAGTTGATCAGACTTCAATTGACTCAATAAACATGCATCATTCGATTATAATCAAACAATATAGCATCCAAAACTTCATACAAGAAAGATCCTAACTCATGGAACTAGGGTTCCTCAAAACCTAAGTGAAAGGAAGTTACTCCATAGAGAAGAGAGAGACTGCAGAAATCTGATCTAGATCTTCAATCTCCATCTCCAAGCTTGATTCCCGAGCTTCAATGGCGAAGAAATCCTCCAAAATAGCTCCAAGAATGTTCCCAAGTCGCTCTCTCTCTCTAGGGTTCGTCCCTTGGGTGTTTGGGATCCAAAACCCAGCTCTCCCCCTCCTTTGGCTCGAATTTGGGTTAAAAACAGCCATTCCCGACTCGCACGGCCAGGGTGCACGGCCGTGCACATCACCATTCTGGCCGTGCACCTCAAAACGCGGCGTATCAATTAGTTGAACCTCAGCCAACTCGCACGGCCAGAATTGTATGTTGCACGGCCGTGCGGATTTCACTTGTGCCCGTGCGTGCCCACGCACAATCCCGCACGGCCAAACTGGTCACTTGCACGGCCGTGCGTGGCCACGCACAATCCCGTGCGTGCCCACGCACGATCCCGCACGGCCAAACTGGTCACTTGCACGGCCGTGCGGGTTGTGGGTGTGCCCGTGCGACTTCCTCAGAACCTCGCCATGCGTCCGATCCTCGTCCAATCGACCCCAGACTCGCTCCTAAGCCTTCATTCACGTCCTAGGACCTGAAATATCACAAACAAGCACAACCTACCGTGAAATCGGCCTAAAACACGAGAATCAACACCTCAAACGGTGTAAGAATGGGGGTAAAAACATGTGTAAATGACGGTCTATCAAACTCCCCCACACTTAACCGTTTGCTTGTCCCCAAGCAAACCTAACTCAAACCAATGCAACTCTCCAGACCTCTATAGCAACAAACACCCCAGATCGTAGGTAGAGGACTTCCTAGATCATTTAGCAACTTACGAGGTCAACCGAAACACAAGTCATCTCATAGCTTCTTCGGCAAGAGCACTAGTATCGAGTCGGCATCATGGCAAATAGTGAACAGATGACAAATGAATTGTGGATGAAGAGATTCTCAAAAACAAAAGATCATGGACTCACATTTTTCAAGGTGCTCTATTTTCTTCTTGAAGATGGTTGGAACCCCTTTTCTTTCCTGTTTTGCATGTTTTCTGTTATTTTTTTTTTTCAAGGGTCCCAACCTGCTCTTACCGGCCATGCCAGGAGCGGATGTCTCGAGCCTCGTGCGGGGGAAAGACATGTAAGGGGGCTGGAGGTAGTAGGTGGAAATTGGGAACGAATTCCCGTCTCCCCTTACACACTTTCGCACTATTCGCACGGGAGACGTTATTTTGAAGCACATTTTCGAGCACCTGTTAAACTCAAAACATGATACAAGAGTCCATGACAGGTAGAGAATCCACAACACCACACAATTCAAGGGTCCTAAGATCACTAATTCACTCAATCAACCAACACAATATGAAGAAGCAATGAGACTTCTTAAATGCATCAACATCCTCCATAGTGCTACACTACCTCCCTAGGTTGCATATTACTATAAAGACTGTCAATTCAAAGCATACTGAGCAGGCAATTGCAAGGAACACGTACTTGGAGCCCTCAAATTTCAAAATTTGGACAGTGGACTAGGCTCCAAGCACACAAACAACCAAACATTCACCCGCATAAATAATCGAACACCCCCCCACACTTAAGCACGACATTGTCCTCAATGGAGGAAAGATAAGGAGGGTAGAACGAAGTTACCAGATCAAGGGTGAATGATGATGAACGGGTCAGGCGGTGCATCCCAGAAAGAGAGAGTAATCAGAACACAAACACCACACAAAATCTCACAAAGGTTGAGTTATTGACTCTAAAATCAAATAACAAAACTGACTCAACCGAGGATAAATAGAGAAAGAAATGCAAACCGACTGGTTGGGTTGCCTCCCAACAAGCGCTTCTTTCACGTCGTGAGCCGGACGATGGCTCCTAAGTTTCGGTCCATGCTAGAACCTCCTTGAAGTTGAGGTTCTCGTCGATGAGGTGGAGTCTCAAGTCACGAGCATGTGGTGTGGCAGGTGAGGAAGGCTCATGTACTTGATGCAGATGAAGTCTCCACCCTCGAGACCTCTTCTTCTCTTCTCTCGTCTCATTGCTCCAAACCAGATAAGACAGCATCGATTGGCCACCATCGCGTCCACCAAGAGGGACCGATGTTGATCTGGCCTTGGTCTGGCAAAGAGACACTGCAAATGGGTCCTTGCCAAGCAGTTCCTCAAAGTTTGGTGGGGATATTACTTGCAACTCATGGCCGGTGCATGCCTCTTCCACCTCAACTTCATCCTCAGCCTGGACGCCAATTGCTTCTTCAACCCCCCTTTCTTCTTCATGTGGTATCACCCTTGGGAAAAGATCAAGAACTCCTCCTGCTTCACTTTCTTCATCCTCTACAACTTCTTTCTGCACCCTTTCTCGCTCTTCTTCTTCTAGCACGGATTGGAGAGCAAGTTGCCAAGCAATTTCTTTCATGAGATTTTCTTGCATCTCCTCACTCATGCCCGCCTCTTCAAAGCTCAGTTTGGGATGTGGGAAGGTGTGGTCGGCTACGGCAGGAAATTCCTGATCATGATCATCACGAGAGCTTTTCGTGAAAACTTTTGTCTGCTCCACAATATCCTTGTAGCCTTCGTCTTCCTCCTCCTCTTCTAGTATGATAGCAGAAGGGTGATCTTGAGCAGGTTGTGCATAAGCTTTCTCAAGATCCTCGAGGCTCTTCTTTATGCTCAGGAGGGTCTCCTCTGTTTCACGGTAGGAGAACCCAGTTTGGGCATTGTCTGGGATATCCATCTTTGGAAAGGATGTCTCAGGTACTCGAGCAATCTGGTCCACGAGAAGCCTCAAGTGATAGTTTGGATCTGGCTGATGGAGGAATTCTTCTTGATAAGGAGATTGTTCTTGAAATACCCAGGGGTCTGATTGTTCTTCGTAGAATGGGGGTTGGTACTGAAACCCGAATCCATAGTCTTCTCCTCCTTGATTGCTCCAGGGGCTCTCGGGGTAATACCACTCGGATGGTGGTGGATACCCCCAATGGTTGGAGAAGCCATGAGGATCCATGATTCAGATCTGCACCAACAAAAACAAAAACACCCAAGTGAAAAGCAAGAGTGGAAAAGAAAAAAAAAAGAAAAACAAAAACAAAAAAAAGAAAAAGAAAAACGCTAAAGTAACAAACTTCTGCCTTTCCTAATACTCTAGAAAGTCCCCGGCAACGGCGCCAAAAACTTGATATGCCAAAACACAACACCTAACAATGGCCAAGTGTAACCAATGAAAGGGACTGCAGTATAGTGGCACAAGTAATAAATATCGAATCCACGGGTCTCTAGAGTTACTATTACTCAGCTTCAGTTCATTATCTAGCAAACTAGATTAAGGATTGATTAACTAAACTACTCTACTAACTAAACTAAGTAAAACTACTAATTACAGTTTGGGAACTCACTTGGGTATGGTTCCCCCTAGCTCCTCAATTAGGTCCAAGTTGTAATTCATTTTGGTTGATTTACTGTTGATTAAACTGCGGAAGATCCGACAGTAGCTTGGAATCTCTTAAGCTGACCAAGCCCTCTCAGTCTAACTATCCGGCAGACGACTAGTCTTCACCGGGATAGAAAGCTGAAGCAATAAGCACAGAACTCCACTACTGGAATTGGATTCCAGTACAAAGCAGTAAACTGGCTAACTCTCGTATAGCCAATCTCCTACTACCGAATGATGAGACTCTAGCAACCTAATCAGATTCTATCTATCTCAGATTGCAGCAGAAATCAGGAAAAGTTGATCAGACTTCAATTGACTCAATAAACATGCATCATTCGATTATAATCAAACAATATAGCATCCAAAACTTCATACAAGAAAGATCCTAACTCATGGAACTAGGGTTCCTCAAAACCTAAGTGAAAGGAAGTTACTCCATAGAGAAGAGAGAGACTGCAGAAATCTGATCTAGATCTTCAATCTCCATCTCCAAGCTTGATTCCCGAGCTTCAATGGCGAAGAAATCCTCCAAAATAGCTCCAAGAATGTTCCCAAGTCGCTCTCTCTCTCTAGGGTTCGTCCCTTGGGTGTTTGGGATCCAAAACCCAGCTCTCCCCCTCCTTTGGCTCGAATTTGGGTTAAAAACAGCCATTCCCGACTCGCACGGCCAGGGTGCACGGCCGTGCACATCACCATTCTGGCCGTGCACCTCAAAACGCGGCGTATCAATTAGTTGAACCTCAGCCAACTCGCACGGCCAGAATTGTATGTTGCACGGCCGTGCGGATTTCACTTGTGCCCGTGCGTGCCCACGCACAATCCCGCACGGCCAAACTGGTCACTTGCACGGCCGTGCGTGGCCACGCACAATCCCGTGCGTGCCCACGCACGATCCCGCACGGCCAAACTGGTCACTTGCACGGCCGTTCGGGTTGTGGGTGTGCCCGTGCGACTTCCTCAGAACCTCGCCATGCGTCCGATCCTCGTCCAATCGACCCCAGACTCGCTCCTAAGCCTTCATTCACGTCCTAGGACCTGAAATATCACAAACAAGCACAACCTACCGTGAAATCGGCCTAAAACACGAGAATCAACACCTCAAACGGTGTAAGAATGGGGGTAAAAACATGTGTAAATGACGGTCTATCAATTGGATAACTCAATGGGTGTGAATTGTTCAAATAAAATCTCTTAAGCACATTTTCTACATATCCTGCTTGATGCACAAATATACCATCTTTCAAATGTTCAATATGTAATCCAAGGCAAAACTTTGTTATTCCTAAATATTTCATTTCAAACTCTTTTTTCAAGAAATCAACTACTTTTGGAAGCTCTTCGGGAGTTCCAATAATGTTTATGTCATCAACATAAACTGATATTATAACAAACTCGCGACCCGGTGTCTTTAGAAAAACACATGGACAAATAAGGTCATTCTTGTATCCTTTTTCATCAAATATTCACTGAAACGATTGTACCACACTCGTCTAGATTGTTTCAATCCATACAAGGATTTGTTCAATTTGATAGTAAGGTTTCTCGAGAACGTGTCTTGCTTGTTTCTAGCAAATTATATCCTTCAGAGAGTTTCATGTATATATCATTCTCAAGTGATCCATACAAATAGATTGTCACAACATCCATTAGACGCAGATTTAGTCTTCTCAAACTGGCAAACTAATCAAGTATCGAAACGTAGTTGCATCCACCACAGGGGAGTATGTCTCCTCATAATCAATGTCAGGTCTCTGTGAAAATCCTTATGCGAAAAGACATGCTTTATATCTCACGAGTTCACCCTTTTATTTCTTTTCCGCACAAAAACCCATTTATATCTCAATGGCTTTACGTTTGCTTGTGTAATGGTTACCTGTCCAAAAACCTTTCGCTTTGAAAGCGAGTTTAATTCTGTCTCAATTTCCTCTTTCCACATTGGCCAATCATCTCTTGACTTGCATTCATCAATAGATCTTGGTTCATGATCCTCATTTTCATTCATCACACTCAACGCTGCAACATAAGCAAAAACATCGTCAACGATTACTTCACTTCGGTTACAGCATTTTCCATCAAAGACATAATTGATTGAGATCTCTTCATTATCAAAAAATTTCAGGTACTTGATGTTCTTCGGGAACTACAATCTTAGTTATGCTTGGGAACTCTTCTTGAGCTTTCATATCCTCGATTTGACCTTCTTGATTCATAGCTCCTTTACTTTTTCAAGGATTTTTATCGTTGAAACCTACTGGTCTACCATGCTTCATTTGTGGTCTAGATTCATTTGCAATTCCAGATTGTCCAACATGGACATCAACTTTTACTGGAGCATTTACAGGTGGAATGTGTGACTTTGTCACTCTCTTCTGGTCAGTAAAAGAATCCGCCAGTTGGTTTGCTAAACTTTGTAAATGAATTATCTTTTGAACTTCCAGTTCACATTGTCTAGTACGAGGATCGAGGTGAGATAATGATAATTCATTCCCACCAGTATCTTTTTCCAGCTGTTTCTTCTCACCCCCCCCCCCCCCAAATGTTGGAAAAACTTATTTGCAAAATGACAATAAGCAAAATGATAGTTAATAAATCTCCCATCAAGGGTTCTAAGTATTTTATGATTGACGGCGACTCATATCCAACATAAATTCCGAACCTCCTTTGAGGACCCCATCTTAACGCGTTGTGGTGGAGCAATAAGGATGTACACGACACACCCAACTATTTTCAGATGAGAAATATTAGGTTTCTTACCGAAAATTATTTGCAAGAGGGAAATTTCATGATAACGTGTTGGCCTGATGCGAAGTAATGTTTCCACATGCAATATAGCATGTCCCAACAAGAAATTGGCACGCTTGTTTTCATAATCACGTGTTTTGCAATCAATTGCAAATGCTTAATAAATGATTCTGCAAGATCATTTTGCGTCTGAACATGTGCTAGAGGATGTTCAACAACAATCCCAATGGACATACAATTGTAATTGAAAGTTTGTGAAGTAAATTCACCAGCATTATCTAGACGTATTTTCTTGATTGGAAAATCAGAAAAATGTGCTCCTAGTCGAATCAGTTGGTCAAGTAATCTAGCAAACGCTAGGTTGCGAGTTGATAGTAAACACACATGTGACCATCTAGTGGGTGAATTGGCACACATATATCACCTTGTATACGTTCTAAAAACGTATGAGATTCACTCCTTACTTTTACAGGTGATGCTCGTATAATTAACTTGCCACGAGAACATGTAGCACATTGTACATCTTTAAACTGATAAATTTTATGACCTTTCAATGGATGTCCACATGTATTTGAAATAAATTTTTGCATCATAATAAATCCGGGATGGCCAAACCGGTCATGCCAAACTATGAAGTTATCGAGATTTGTAAACTTCTGGTTTACCACTACATGTGTTTCAATTGTACTAATAAACGTGTGGTACAACCCAAAAGAAATGACAGAAAATTTCTCCAATATGTATTTCTTACTGGAGACCATATTTGTTATCATAAAATACTTTTTTCTCTTCATCATTTGTCTCAACGTGATATCCATTTTGGCGAATATCTTTTTAACTCAATAAATTTCTTCGAGACTTTGTAGAGTATAAGGCTCCATCAATATATAATTTGGTTCCTCTTGGTAACAATGCACTAGCTCTTCTCGAGCCTTCAATTAAATTAGTACTTCCAGATATGGTACTAACATTTGCTTCTCTCATTTCAAGTAAGAAAAATATTTCTTATCCTTCAAGATTGTATGTGTCGATGCACTATCAATAAGACACACATCATGGTTTTTTATCTTGGGACTAAGAATGGCAAGATTCATTCTTCAAAAAATATAAAAAAATAATTAATATATGAAATAACTCTAAATAAATAAAGACATGATTAAACTAGATGAAATAAAACCAATGAATATTAAAAAGATAATAAAATAATGGAAGAATTAATTTTGAAATAAAAATAATCAGATTTTGAAATTTAAATAATTTTTATTTAAAACATTACTATCACATAACGAATTATTGAATTTAATTTCTTTCATTGATTATAAAATAATAATAATACTAACATATATATGTTTCATAACACATTTTGGCGTACGAGGGGAACGGTATATAATCCTTTTATCTTTCACTTTTGGGGAAAATATACATTTACTGAGTGTTGTTATCCAAACACTAATATATATTTATATAATAGCATGTCTCATTTCGTTCACTTTTAAGAATGGTTTGTTTCATTCGCTTCCGGGAATGAAACAGTATCCTTTGAACCAAATAATTTTCTTATCACAAGTCCAATACGCTTTCACCTTCAACGAGCAAGAAACTACTTGATAATTTCTAAAATCTCTTGCATAACATTGCTACTGTAGGAGCACATATAGATGTTCAATTTCCTTTCAATAACTCTGAAAAATGTTAATTAAGTATTGTCGTACAAAGGGCACGAAACCAATGAAAATTTCCATTACAATGATAACATATATTCCCAATATTCTTGTTTCCCTGTTCACTTCAGCCCTCGCTGCTATTTCCTTTAATTTTCCACTTCTGGGAAAAATATTCTGAAACTATCATCTCTCTACATGTCAATATAAAAATCGTTAAGAATATAATCATACACATATATCCATAAAAAATAACTCATAGTTGGTAAAATTCTTGCATTACGATATCAACATATATTATAAGATTGTATGATAGTGTAAATCCAATTACAACCCAAAGAGCAACACAATGCAAGTACTAGGTAAAATATTCATGGATGATCTATTATGATAAATAAGTTGCATCTATTTTACTGCTGTTGATGTGACTTGAATCAGACTATCAGCCGCTACGACTAGTAGTCGGGGGTCTCGCTGTTATTTGGGTTCGGCATCTGGGCCTGGTCTGTATTTGTTTCCTTTGCCATATTGGATTAGGTTTAGACCCACATTGAGAAGTACTATAAATATTTCTCATACTCCTCTGTAATCTCCTCGATATAGTGAAACTGGCTCTCTCTCGCCCATGGACTAGCTAACACACATAGTGTTAGTGAACCACGTAAATCGTGTGTCTGTGTTTTTCGATTCTCGCTTTCGTATTCTTGCTTTATCGCTTCCGGCGATTTAAAGATCCGTAGCAGCGCGTTTATAACAACTGCAATGAAAGAATTGTAATAAGATCATTTCAATAAGAACAAAAAGAGAAGATTGATGTACCTTAAACAATGTATCTTTCTTGCAGAAGATAGAGCTTCATGCTGATAACATGTTACGAAATAACAAGGAAGAGGAACGGACACAGAGTAAGAGTAGAGACATAAGAAGAGATGTGAAATAGAGCTTTCTTATTCATGTGTTCCTTAGTGCAAGAAGATCTTCTATTTATAGGCACACATCACATAACCTCTACATTCTTACAATCAATATACATAAATATAAGAATGAATGGGGAATTGAAATGGATTGAAGGATTACATGTAACACCCAATAGTACATCTAATGTAATGATCATCCATATTAATATTTACATAATATTTTTTTAACTATAGTTGTCATTGTTATAATTAAATTTTTAAGTGAACACGTTAAACCATTAGAAATCTCAATAAATAAATTAGATACAATTAAATTATATCGTATATTCAGATTCTCTTAAACCGAAGTTCAGGGAGGTAAACGACACAACGGGGAGCATTCCAGACTGGGAAGTGGCACTTGTCGTCTTTCATACCGTAGATGCCGGCAAACAGATGCGCTCCCTCGTCTCCGTGATAAAGTTAAAATGGCCGCCCTTGCAAAAATCCTTTCCTCTCTTTAATTTCCGCCCTTCCTCCTCTGCCCACTCTGCCGTGGAAGCGGGGAAGAAGAAACCATGGCGACTTCCTCTCTACGCTCCCCTCCCCCTCTTCTCCCTCACAACTCTCCCCCTCCTCCTCTGCTCAAGAATTCCGCCTCCTTCCTTATAGCCCTCCCCAAACAACGCTTCTCTTTCTCAACCAACCGCCACTCCCTCCGCTCTCCGATCGTCCGACGATGCTCCTCGCCGACGGACTCCTCCGCCGACTCCGCACCCGCCGGAGATAGCAATTGGAGGTCTCTCCGCAACTTCATTCAGCCTTTCTCCCTCTATCGTTATGAGCCCGGCTAATTTTTTTTTTTTGCTTTCTTCCCCGCAGTAACTTCTGCATCATAGAAGGACCGGAGACGGTTCAGGATTTCGTTCAGATGCAGGCGCAGGACGTTGAGGAGAACATCAAGAGCAGGCGCAACAAGATATTTCTCCTCATGGAGGAGGTGAGCCTCTCTCTATCACTATTTCAATTGTGGAATTTCGCCTCCAACTACAGTTTTTTCTTAACTCCATTTTTGGGCAGTTGCGGAGATTGCGTATACAGCAGAGGATAAGGGGCGGGAGAAGAAGTATCAATGGAGCAGCTGCCGAAGAAGACGAGTTAACCAACGAGATGCCTGAAATCCCATCAACAATCCCTTTTCTTCCTCATGTGGTGAGAGACCAATTACTCTGTTGCCTCCTCCATCTGCAATTACTGAATTTCCTGATAAAAAGAAATGAATCAGTGCCCTTGTGTGTTTTGTGATGTACTGATGTTAATCAGACGCCAAAGACACTGAAGCAGCTCTACTTTACAAGCTTTTCATTCGCATCAGGGATCATAATATTTGGGGGTCTTATTGCTCCAATTGTAAGTTCATCCACTGTTCAATTCACTTCTGGATGCTATTATTAGCTGTATTAGCACGAACATAGCTAGAATGGGCAAGAATTTTATGCGGTGATACTTGTCCTGTGGCAGCTGGAAGTGAAGCTCGGTCTAGGGGGAACCTCTTATGAGGATTTCATAAGGAGCTTGCATTTGCCAATGCAGCTGAGGTACTTGGTGTTTGATCTTCCATGAAGTGTTTCTCTTTCCTCAGTGTTCTTTTATCCTTGGATTGAAATCTTAGTTAATAACTAGCTTTTGTTTCTCGGGGGATGCAGCCAGGTCGATCCGATTGTAGCATCCTTTTCAGGAGGGGCAGTCGGAGTTATTTCTGCTTTGATGTTGATTGAAGCTAACAATGTAGAGCAACAAGAGAAGAAAAGATGTAGATACTGCAATGGAACTGGTGAGTACAGAACTCCCCATCCGAGCTTCGTTATTCAACAGTCGACTCACTCGTCCTAATTCCATGATACAGCTGATGCCTCACAACTTTAGTTTTTGTGGTCTCCTAACCCTGGCTTTGGTGTTCTTCGTTGAAATCAGGATACTTGGCGTGTGCTCGTTGCGCTGGTGGTGGTGTGTGCTTGAGTGTCGACCCGATTTCGTTATCCAGTGCTTCAGATAAGCCATTGCGTGTACCATCATCTGAAAGGTGTCCCAACTGCTCTGGTGCAGGAAAGGTATGTAAATAGATCATCCCATTCAGCTAAGCTAGCTCCTCATAGTTTTTCAATTAGATATATTTGGCCATCTGAAACGTTCCATTTCTGATTTCAGGTGATGTGCCCCACATGTCTGTGCACTGGAATGGTGATGGCAAGCGAACACGATCCGCGAATCGATCCATTCGACTGAGCTCTCTCCATCTATGGACTGCCTGCTTCCAAAATGTATCCATCTAGTTGTTGATTTCTTTGTTTGTCTATCCTGTCCTGGGAACCAAAGTTTTCCCTTATTTCATTCATGTACCCCCTTCGTTCTCTGTTACCAAGTTACAACTGTGGAGAGGTTGCGGCAGTTGATGAGAAAGGATGGATAACAGAATGTCGGAAGATACAGTGCACTGAGGAATGATGGCATGACCAAACTAGGCTGAAGAAAAATCGACTGTGAAAACATTTAGCGTGAATTATCAATTTGTAACTGGTGGCATTAATTAAATCCACATTCTGCTTCATACTGCTCTTTCCCCGTAACCACTGTAGTATCGGTTATTTGTGCATACTGCATAGGGTATTGTATGGCACGACACGATTAAAGCATAACAAGCATGAGTACAAAATATATGAATCATCTCGACACGAATCACTCCTTTCCATAATTAGAAATTCACAACTGAATCAAACAACATAACATTCAGACATATCAAATGGTCATTATATCTCATTGACTATCACATTTTTCATAGTCACGACATTATCCTCCCTAGATAAAGTGATATTCTCTACTCAATGATTCAAAGGTTGATGTGTAGTGAAAATACTTGAAGGTGATGACTAAACAAGTTAATAGATGGAGAACATCTTTAGTCATCTTAAAAAGATTTCACGCAGAACATCTAACTACTAAACTTGGATATAAATTTCGAAATTGTACGACTAAATATATAGCAATTTAAAGCATAATGAAGTAGCACATAACATACAATTCCACCCGACACATTATAATGGACATTGTCCTCAATGGGCTAAATAATCGCTAGCAAAGAAAAAGGTTGGAATTGGTTTACCTCCTTTGTCGTACTAAAGTTGAGTGAATTATGGAGAACAACTAGTTTAACTCCTCGATTGCATAGGAAGACTCGACATAGGAATTCTAGATTATGGATAAAAGCTAGATATTATGATCCAAATTATAGTATATGAAGACACTCTATTTATGGTATATATCACTCTCGTATTTGATACAATTTTCCCCCTTCTATTGAAGCATCTTTAGTCATTTCAATTATATTTCTCATCTAAATTACAACTATTTGATCAATGAGGTTTTAATAGACCTAGGCAATATTCTTGTACTATTTGATGCCTTCTTGGTATACTTTTGATGGTTTTGAAGGTACTAAGCAACCTTAGAAAGATTGGATCAAGCATTGAAGAACTTCGGAGGACCAAATGAGCTAGCAAGAGAAGTTTAAGGAGTGTTTACAAAGAATGAGTGGTCCAATGATGAAGAAATCAACTAGAAGTTATAAGATCGTGTCAAGACAAGCCCATAGGAGGAAGAACCGGCCCACTCTGAAGCAAGAAAGAGTTGTGGTCCAAGCAACGACTCCAATTGCTGCTACGTAAAGTTGCAACCTAAATTGTCTGAAATTGAAGTCCATGGATCAAAAATCCCAATTCACAAAGAAATAGAGCGGCAGGTCCAACCGAAGCACCACCGCTACCTCCCTTTTTTCCTTGTTGACAAAGTTTTCTAAGTCTACTAGGTTTAGGTAGTGATGGCAATGGGTCGGGGCGGGGCGGGTACCTCAATACCCATGCTCCGCCTCACGCTAGTACGGGGCGGGGCGGGTAATACCCGAGCGGGTACGGGGCAGGACGGGTCGACTAGGGATGGCAGTTCAACCCAAACCCGCGGGTACCCGACCCGACCCAATCCGGTCAAACCGGGTAAAACCCGTGTTGACCGGATTCGGGCCGGGTTCGGGTTTAAACTCGGTGGCTGGTTGGGCGGGTTGGGGCGGGTTCGGGTTTGGGGGATCTCGACCCGTGGATACCCGGACATGCACCCTAAAATCTAAATTACCCGTCCCCACTTCCCAGCCCACTTCCCTTCCCACCCCAGAGACATTTCACAAATCACAATCCCTAATCGGCAATCGCGACTCCTCTCTTCCTCTCTGCGACTCCTCTTCCTCTCCGATGAGACCACGACTCCTCTTCTCCATCTCCAGTCCCGACTCCCAATCCGACGGCCGCCCTCCCCCCTGCTCTTACTTTGCTCCAGCTCCGCCTCTCCAACACCATTACCGGCCGCGCCCTCTCCGGCTCTCCCTGCTCCTCTGCCCCGCCACCCTCTCCGGCTCTGCTCCTCAGCAACTCCTTCACGTCGTCGACTCCGCCGCCAGACACTGAGACACGCCACCAGGTAAGTGAGATGTTAAGATCCCCCTTGTTCTTGGAACAAAGGGTTTCATGAGTTTGTTTATGCTTACTGCATCATCTTGTTGATATATGATTAGAGCATCACAATAGGTAAAATTTCTTATGCTATATGTTTTACCCGCCCTATATTCATTCAATTACCAACTGGTGGTCAATGTATTGATGCATTCCATTTTGTTGTCATTGACAGCTTGGTGAAAGGACAGCAAACTTATTGAAGCATCTCTTCCCAGTGCCAAAGCCAGATACAAAGCGTATACTCACTTTTGCAAATCAATCAGACTATATCTCGTTCGGGTGAGTTTAACTGTCAAAATTACTTGGTTCTTTTTACTCCTAAAAATACTTGTAAGTTATCATATCACATAATAAAAAGATGTTTATAATATCATCCTTACTGCTCCTTATTTTTTCATTGCGTTCCCTTAACAATGATTTGCTCTTCACTTGAGTCGAGTGTATGTCATCATTTCTGTTGTGATTGTTGATTCCAGTAAGGGATAATGCGAACACTCATATTTGTGCTTTTGTTATCACTTATCACTACCGAGTCTGCGAATTCATGCATCACATGAATTTTCCATTTTCTCCTAACATTTGCTCCTGATAATTGATATGTGCAGGCATCATGTTTATGAAAAGCGTGGTGGTCCCAAGTCTGTCGAGCTTAGGGAGATTGGTCCTCGTTTTGAAATGCGACTCTATCAGGTAACTCTTGGTTACCGAAATCAACTTGGGTCTTGAAGTTCCTCTCTCTGATTAGTTGGAAAGGACCAAAGCGTCAGTCAGTGTAACCAACACCAACAAATTGGGTGCTTACTTATCATCATTAGTTCAATCATTAGAAACTAGGAGTACATAATGATGAACGCTTTTGATTCCAGTAAGGGATAATGCGAACACTCATATTTGTGCTTTTGTTATCACTTATCACTACCGAGTCTGCGAATTCATGCATCATATGAATTTTCCATTTTCTCCTAACATTTGCTCCTGATAATTGATATGTGCAGGCATCATGTTTATGAAAAGCGTGGTGGTCCCAAGTCTGTCGAGCTTAGGGAGATTGGTCCTCGTTTTGAAATGCGACTCTATCAGGTAACTCTTGGTTACCGAAATCAACTTGGGTCTTGAAGTTCCTCTCTCTGATTAGTTGGAAAGGACCAAAGCGTCAGTCAGTGTAATCAACACCAACAAATTGGGTGCTTACTTATCATCATTAGTTCAATCATTAGAAACTAGGAGTACATAATGATGAACGCTTTTGACCTCATCCCCCCCCCCATAAACAAACTGAGTTGGATGGCTACCTCAAGGAGAAAGTCCTGCTCAAGACAGCTGGATTTGACATTTTATTGTGGTGGAAGGCAAATGAGTCAAAGTATCCGACTTTAGCATTGATTGCTAGAGACATACTTGCAATTCCAGTGACTACTGTGGCTTCTGAGTCTGCTTTTAGTGCCGGTGGAAGACTAGTTAGCCCTAGTCGCAGTAGACTTCTCCTAGAAACTGTTGAGGTTCTAATGTGTGCTCAAAACTAGTTGCTCAATTCAACCATCCCAGGTAGCTTGATAACCTTTGATTGTTTGATTTCACATATGAACTTTAATACATGTTTTGAGTTATGATATTGTTGGTTACCATTATTTGCTAACTTGCTATCCTATTTGCAGATGGCTTGAAAACAATTGATAAGCTCATGACTTATGGCACTGTTAATGATGACCTAGATCCAGATTGTGCTTCATGTGTTACCGGTATATTTAATATTATAATTATCTTCTTTAAAACATCCATCTTTCTTATGTTTGTGGAGACATTTTTAATTTTGGTCTATCTAATTCTGTAGAATGAAGTTGAAGTTATGGAGCTGAGAGTGAAGCTAAGATGACAATGTTCAAGTTCTCAAGGAGGAGGAAACTTTAATTAATCATGTTGTGTATTGATAATTTGTGACTTTGAATTTTCTAGATTGGAGTTGAACAATTTGTATGGATAGTGTGTGATTTGCTTGAATTTTCTAGAACGATGTTTTATGTATGGATAGTTTGTATGGTGAGATTTATGCTTGATTTTTATTTTGATAGTTTCTTGTTAATTATTATTTTATAAAAATTTTACCAAAAAAACCCGCGGGTAACCCATCAACCCGCGGATACACAGCGGGTTGGGTTGGGTTTGAGTTTTTCAAACCCAGCGGGTTTTACCCCGGGTTTTTTTGACGGAAAAACCCATGGGTTTGGGTTCGAGTTTGGTAAAACCCACCCCAACCCGACCCATTGCCATCCCTAGGGTCGACCCACTCTGACATGCTATTTGAGAAAAAATACACGCACAAATTTACTTTTTATGATAAAATGAAGGGGAAAAGACTTGACGAATGAATAATAGTGATAATATAATAAGTAATTGAGTCTATTTAGTTGAAAGATCAAGTTTAACTAGTTGAATAAAAGCTAAAATAGGAGATATATGAATGGATGAGGTAAAAAATTGACCTAAAACAGGCTAAAAATGGGGTGGAGCGGGGCAGAGCGGGTCAGAAGTTGATACCCATTCCCCGCCCCACGCTAATGTGGGTCGGGTAATACCCGCCCCATCGCGGATCGGGTCAGGTATTACCCGGCGGGGCGGGTTGAAATGGCCATCCCTAGGTTTAGGGGACTCTTTTCTAGTCTATTTAGGTTGTTTTAAGTCGAGATCTCTCCTATAAATAGAGGCATGAATCCTTTATAAGAGTAAGGGTGCACAAACACACAAATCTCTGTAACACTCTACACGAGAGCATAGTCAAGCTGAATTGTTGAAGTAGAGGGGGTCTGCTACAAAGGATATGTTGTCCTCATCAATGATGGTACCTTCATTCTCCTCTATGTAGCTATTCAACATTGATTGTATTAGGATGTGATCTTGTTTATTGTTATGTGAATGAATACCATGATTTCATCTCATGCTTCTATTTGTCTATAAAGATTTCGATGTCTATAATGATCATTGATGCTTTATTTTTTCGATGCTTGTGATGGTCGTTGATGTTTTCTATAGTATGAATGCTTTTAGTTACCACCGGTTCTTATGATTCTATTGTATGCTACTATATGCATTGTGTTTAGTATTGTCTAGATTGTAAAGAAATTACCTTCTAGGGATACCCCATTGATGCTACACGAGTATGAGAGTATTGTTCACCCATATGTGCTTTGAGTAGTATCAATGCTTGATTGTTAGATCATCGATGCTATAGACTATAGTTATGGTTCGTAGAAGTTCATAATTAACTATATGCTATCCTAACTTCTTTGTTCTTCATTGATTAGGTAGTGACATTAAGCAAAAGCACACGTTAGCTAGTTTAATCTCTATCGCAAGAAGAGCACTCATGGGGTAGGGAGTGGCCTAAGAGGAAGGGATAAGGCATTACATTATATGAATAAGTGCTGCATGATATGACCCTAGGAATATCTAGGAATTTATAACCTGATCTTGCATCAGTATCCAAATTAAAAAAAAAAAAACTAGATATAGTCCACAAATAGACCAAAAAAAAACTCCTACAGATGGCTACCACCTCTTGGTCCTTGCATTGAGAAGAAGATGCCAAACTTCTAACCAAACCCTTGAATCCAATCTGGCTACACTAGTGGTGTGCCTATGTCTGTCATCTCCAAGCTTGAATTTCCTCTAGCTCCTCTTTATGATCCTGCTCGAAGGCATCCCAATCCTCCTCATTGTTAGACTTGTACATGAGAAAATTATCTTGTCTCTTCACGACTTTTTTCAAGAATGTTATCTCATCTCCAAAGTTATGATACAGTAGTGGTGACGGTAAGGAAGATAGTTCACCTTCATATCTCCGTCTCTCATGAATCCTCTAAAGGTGCACAGTTGGCTACCCTGCTTCTGACCAAGCAGCATGGGTAGGAAAATAATCCTTGACGAGATCTGCTCCAACTCCAATAAGTCTCTCTATTTCGAAGATGAAAGCCGGTTGTCTAAATATTTGTCCATGCGTCACCATAGTATCCCAGTGAGCAAATCCAAACTCATCCATGTGGTCATCGATGTAATAGGAAATAGTTTGAATGTAGCCTCCTCCTGGAAGTACTCAATGAAAAGAGATGGAAGTAGACCCACTGGGCGAGTTCACCACTATCTAGCTGGATGAAGCCACCAATCATGCACAAGTGCATCGCCTCTTCGTCAAATATGAAATCCAGGGGTGAACAAAACAACCTACAAACTGACCCATCTGTCCAACCCGACCTAACTCACCCGTATTGATCGTCAAAATTAAAGTTAAAGTTGGATGAGGGTTTTCTTTCATACAAACCGCCTTTATTGAGTTGGGTGCAGATTATGAGTAACGCAACCCGAGAACCCGACCCAATCCTTGTTGAACTATTGTCATAAGTGTTCGCATCCATAACATATTTGTGAGAAAATTAAGCTAACTTGTCATATTTTTCTCTTGTGGTTTCCCTAGCCTAATACATTATTCAACTTAATACTTAGACTAGATTTAATATAAATTACGATTCACTTAATCTTTTTTCTAGGACTGATAATCGGTTCGGTTCGGTTATAATCGGAACCATTTAGTTGGTTCTCGGTTAACCGTTAAGCATATTCTGCTTGCCGTTAACCGCACCGTTTAAATTAGTCTGTTAACCGTAACCGTATAGTCAGTTTTCGGTTATTTTGTCGGTTAACCGGATAACCGTTAACCAAGTGATTTAGCTTGGTTATACCAAAATAACCGATCGATAACCTTACCAACAAAAGACCTTCTTTTTTAAATGGTGAAACTTTCTATAATATTTCATACATACACATGTGTTCTTTTCCTAAGTTGTTATCATTGAATACAAAATAATTTAACATAGATATATATCAATACATAATAAACTCAATTGGTTAATACATAATCAACTCAATCCAACACAAGTACACAATAATACGATTCTACTGTCAAACTTTATTAAAGAAGCATACAACAATAAGAGATCCAGCAACAATTACTCAACTCGTAAACCCCACCAAATTACATGAAAGCTTAAAGTTACTGATTGTTGTCTAGCAACTATGCGCAAGTCAGACGTTCTACTTCTAAAACTCTTCCTTTAAATTATTTTCATTTGAGTCTAAATCACTATTATAATTAGGATAGGCAAGGATTCTTGTAAGCCTTCAAGCACCCCATTATTTTTGTTTTTGTCTATGTTTGCGGCACATGTATGTCTATTATTTTGCGGCCCTAACTACGAAGATGGTCATAATCGGTTAGTCGGCTAACCGTTTAACCGTTGGTTAGTTATTAGCTAAATTTAGCTACCAAGAACCGATCATTTACCATTTAATCGGTTATCAGTGTAACTATTAAGCACCGGTTCTGGTTCAGTTATCGGTTACATCGTTAACGGGATAACCGTTTATCAGTCCTACTTTTTTCTAGTGTACAAGTTTAGAAGAATAATATATTATGAATGTGTTATCTTACAACCACTTTATGAAAATTATTTATGAAAAAACTAAACATATGTTGAAGTAAAGTGCATTTCGTTCAAATCCAAACAACTTTTAAGCATATTGATACCTTTCGCCTTAATTTATTTGTATAAAATTTTTATTAGTTATATAATATTTTGTAGTATAGAATAATTGTCTTTTTTGTGTTGGCTTGGTTGTTTAATTAAAAGTATCTCCGACCCGATCCAAACCGTAGGGTTCTAATTTTTTGGGTGGGTATGGATATAATATTTTCAAAACCATAATATATGGGTCGGGTGATCCATGTACACCCCTAGTGTAAACTGGTTCGGTCAAAGTAGTGCACGAACCTCATAAATGATAAACGGATAGTTGTAGGTCCAGCATAACGAGAAGTAAACTCTTCTCTTGAATTCTTTGTAATCTTCCTTCATAAAAATTTGAAGATCCCTTGCTTTAATGATGAATCCCAATAGCCTCACAGGCTAGAATCAAAGGAGCTCATCTCGTATGGTATGTGAATCCCTAGCTTCAATGCGAAGCTATCATGACTGTCACTAAAGCTCTTTCCCACCAACTAATAGGTGATGCATGTCTGACTAGTGCTTTTTGCTGGTGATATTGAGAGTGTGGCGAGGAACTCTCTAGTCAAAACATCGAAAAATCGCTCCTTAGATGCTAAATAGTAGGGATGGCAATTTGAACCCATCCCGGGTAATACCCAACTTGACCCACCGGGTAAAAACCACCTGATTCATTCATAACATGTTTTCCCTTCTTTATTGTAAATACTAAATTTTTGTGTGTATTTTTTTCAAATAACATGTAAGAATATGGATATTGAGATACCCGCACGGCCGCACACCCCATTTCCATCACTACTGAAGAGTGCCAGAAGCCCAAAATGATCAAGTCTCTGCCTAAGCTCTGCACCCCTAGGGGTGGGCATCCGGTTCAGTAAACCGGAACCCACAACCCCAAGCCCACAACCATAGAACTCACAACCCCAAGCCCACAACCCAAACAACCTCAATCCCGTTACATCTATTTCCCCTTTTTCTACTGAAACCCTAGCCCTGGTTACTCTGAGGCGGCGGAAGTTCAAGATCGGAAGCTCCAAGTCTGCGAATCTTTCTCCTTCTTCATTCTTTCCCCCACCCGATCCACCTACCAAAAACTCTCACATCTCTGTTCCTTCCCCCACCCGAGTCCGCATCGACAGAGTTCAAGATCTGTCAGCTTCGACGCCATTACCCTCAAACAAAGATCTGCTCGACGCCATCGCTTCCCTTCAAAGCTTCAACCAAATACAAACATGCAGCGCGAAATCGATGAGAGACGTAGAGGCGAAGGAGAAAAACAAACCAAAAGTTTCATGCATACTTGGATATTAAACATTACTAACCTCTAATCTTCGTCGCTGGAATCATCACAATCATCGATGTCAATCGCCATCGCCGTTGCTGCTGGGTCGTTCTCTCCTTCAATCGCTGTCGCCGCCTGCCCCTGAGTTCTTCCCTCCGTCAATCGCCGGAGACGGGAGGAAAAATAGTCGATGGGCGCTGCTTTGTTCTTAGGAGAGAGAGAAGAAGAAGAGAGAGAGAGAAGAAGAAGAAAGAGAGAGAAGAAGAAGAAAGAGAGAATTGGTTCTCGTTCTGCGTAGAAATGGTGGGTGGGGAAAAAGGTAAGTGGGGAAAGAGGGGGTAAGAGGGAGAGAGACAGAGGCGCACTTTTTTAGAAAATTCGGGGAGAGTCTCCGAACCAAACCGGGATATATTTTGGTTTGGCTATACCGAATCGAAATATATTTTGGTTTGAATTCGGTTCACTCCATGAGCTACTTCGGAGATCCGGTAATCGTCTGTTCGGTTTGGTTCAAACCAAACCGACCAAATGCCCACTCCTAGCACCCCATCCCTGGTACTAGCAGAAATAATCACAATCTATCTCTCCTTGGGTTCTATAGGAATATTTTTCCATTGCTCCAATCTTCTCCTCCTATTTTTATCTAGATGAAAGTTGAGTAGAGGATGAGGGACACCTGTGCTGGCTCGAGAATCTCGAGCTCATCATATATCTCTTGCGTCTTTGATCCCAGGTGCATCTATCCACTTCAGATCTTTTACCTCCTGCTACCTAAAGATAGACACCCACTACTAGTGCCGGAGGAAATCCGAGAAGATCCATAAGTGGGGAGTTCTTATAACACTACTATTTAATAGGGTTAATATATTTGTATGACCTAAACTTTGCACATAATAAACATCCTAGCCCAAATTATACATCAAAGTAACAAAATTGGCCAAACCCGATGTTTGACCCTTTATCTTGGACGGTCAACGTGCCATGTCACTTCCAAGTCAACAACTTTCACTTAATTTTTTTTATATATTTTCCACCTATTACCATTTGTATTTTTCATAGTGAACTAAAAGAAGAAGAAAAAAGTAATTTCATTTTGAACCAAGAAAAAGAAAAATGATAATATGTGGAAAATATATTAAAAAAAAGCAAGTGAAAGTTGCTGAATTGGCAATAACATGGCGCGTTGACCGTTAGTCAACGCGTTTGACCATCCAAGATAACGGTCAAACATCGAGTTCGACCAATTTCGTTACTTTGATGTATAATTTGGGCCAGGATGTTATAGTTCGAAAAAATTGGTCAGTATATTTATTATGTGCAAAATTTAGGTCATACAAATATATTAACCCTATTTAATATCTTCTCGCGTATTACGATTGCGGGTCAGATCAGGTCCTTAAGGCTTAATCTTTAAGGAAGATCTTAAACCATCTCCAACCAATAGGAGAAGGGGAGAGAAAAACATTAGTAATAATTAGTTAACTACTTAAAAGGGTAAGACAGGAAATGTAATAAAAATTTAATGTGATTAATAATTAAAAAGGAAAACGATAGAAACCACGTCTGCGATGCCTCACTATTGAACATTTATATCGGGAAAATCGGCCTCTTCCGAACCCTAAAATCGTTTCCCACGAAGCTACGGCTTCAAACTCGTCGCCAGCTAGCCGTCGCGCTCTGGGTGCAATCCCGGCATCGGAGCCACTACATCACGGCTGCGTCATGTCGTCGCCAAGTCACGGCTGCATCAGTTTTGGTTTCCTCATCTGCAAACTCATCATCGTCAAGTCGAGATCACATCGCCGTTCCGTCTGCAAACCCGCTGTCACAGCTGCCTGGTCGCTGTTGTTTCCCCCATCGCGACCATCTTCTCGTCAGATTCTTGTCTACGTTGCCACCGGCTTCTCGTCTGCGTGATGGGTGGTGATGACAATAAATTTGCTTATAATGTTAATAACGTAAGGCTAAAGATAGATAACCAATAATAATGTAAGTTAGAATGACAACAAAATGTTGATACCTTTGGTTAAAATGATAATAATGTACCTTAAAATGTTAATAGCGTAGAATAAAATGGAAAGAATTTGTAATGTTAATAATGTAGTTTAATACATGTTGAAAGTGTTACAATAATTTGTGAAAGTGTTAATAATGTGGGTTAATATGATAATAACGTAGGTTAAAATGTTAATAACGTAAGGGAAAAGATTGGTAACGAATGTTAACATGTTAATAATGTTGGCTAAAATGATAATAAGGTAGCTTAAAATGTTAATAACATAGGTTAAAATGAAAAATCTCTTTTTTAATTACGTGGGTTAAAATGTTAATAACATGGGCCAGAATGATAATAACGTAGTTGAAATTGTTAATAAATAATAACGTAAGTTATAATGAAACAATCTTTATATAACAAAGGTTAAAATGTTAATAATATAGCTATATATTATTGAAAGTGTAACTAATTATTTGTTAAAATGTTAATAACATGTTAATAATGTAGGTTAAAATGATAATAACGAGACTTAAAATGTTAATAATGTAGCGACTGCGAAGGGAGGCAACGCCGGGTAGGACCGACGCCGGAGGTAAGATAAGCTCGGCAGGAAGACGACGACAACAGTTGAGGGTCGGAAGCTGGGGATTGCTGTCGGAGACGGAAGTGATGCCGATGCTAACGAGAGAAGTAGGTCATTGATGGACTAGGCCGACGATGACAACACGAGCTGGCAACCGATGGCGGAGAACGCTTGTGGGAGTAGAATCGCCGGCCGGAGAGCTCAGCGGGAGGGAAGTTGGACCAGCGGCGGCAACGGAAGCTAGGTTTCGGCGTTGGTGGACTGGAACGACGACGACAAAGGGAGCTGGTTGTCGTCGGTGGAGAACGCTTGCGGGAGCAGAATCGCCGACCAGAGAACTCAGCGGGAGAGACGGTCGAAGAAGGTGTTTTGATTTGACAGAGAAACAGTTCAGATGCTTGCGGAAGGAAAAAAGATAAAGACGATACGTGGGCATATACATTAGTAGGGTTACGTTTTTTAATTTAATTGTAATTCTCTTAATGACCCTAATAACTATTTAACTAATAACTCCTCACTAACTACCTAAAATTGAATTAGCCAATCACAATGCTTTAAGATCTTCCTTAAGAAAAAGGGTTTAAGGACCTGAACTTAGACCTTACGCTTGGTCGTTGGGCCGTGAAATCTCATACCTGGACCTGGTCCTGGTCCATATAGTAAGCTCGGTTCGACCCACAAACAAATCCAATATCAGCCCAACTTAGTTAGGTTTAAAGGCCCAAATCCTGTCCGGTTTACTGTTTACCCCAACCCGCAACCTTCGTCTTTCCTAAACCCTAGATATAAATTGGATAATCTTCCATGCGCATCGTCTCTCGCTATCAAATTTTCCCTCTGACTGCAAGCGGAGAATCGCTACTTAGCGCTTAGCATTCTCACTTCCGTATCTCTTCGCAGCCATGGTGAGAAGCTTCTTAGTGTTTGTCTCTGGTTATCTCTTTTCCCTTGAGATCTCGTTTATTTTGGATACTGTGAAAATGCCTTCTAGATTGACGCGATTCCTTCTATTGTGTACTTTTTGTTCGACTTATCTATCGCAACGGGAATGGAGATTGCAATTTGTGCTTGAATTCCTAGTTTCAACTTTTGGCCCTATGGTGTTCCTGCAGTGAGATTAGGGCAAAGCTAAGGCTACAGTTTCGATTCGACGTTTCAATTCTCTAGGTGCTTGACCTTTCGATTTTGCTTCAGCTAGCTTAGTTAGGGAACCTGGTTGTGGTAATATATATCTGTGAATTGTAATGTCAAGTTTTCTGTGGATCATATACTCTGTCGCTTATCTGCATTGAATTATCATTACAGAAATGGACGGAAAGAGGGACTTTTTTTGTTTGTTTGTTTTGGTCCTGTACTTCCTTCAACGAGAGAAAGGTGCTTGTATAATATGCATGCTTGATTGCTTTCTGAATCCTTAATGTCAGTCATCTTCGTCCGTCTGCAGTCTAAGCGGAAGGTTCGAGAGGTCAAGGAGGAGCCTACCAGCCTTGGACCTGCTGTGCAGCCTGGAGAGACCGTTTTTGGCACCGCTCACATTTTTGCATCATTCAATGACACCTTCATTGTAAGCTTTGAGTTCTTCATACTGTCCTCTAGTTAGACTTTGATTTTTCTGATGCTGCGTTTAATTGTCGAACTGTCTATTGTAGCATGTGACCGATCTTTCTGGAAGAGAAACGTTGGTTCGTATTACTGGTATGCTTCTTGCGTTCAATCTAGCGCAATAACAGTTTGCATCATCACTTATGAAGTGATTCCTCATGTCATTCATGTAATAATTTGGTCATGGTGTTCGAGTTCAGGTGGTATGAAGGTGAAAGCTGATAGGGATGAGTCCTCCCCCTACGCTGCTATGCTTGCAGCACAGGATGTTGCTCAAAGATGCAAGGTCTGTCAAGACTGGTGCTATTTTATTATACCCGAGCAAATGATTGAAGGGTTGTTTATTTAGCTGTAGTTTATGTATTTCTGTACATCTGATTTTCTTTGCAAAACAGGAACTCGGCATTAATTCTCTTCACATAAAGCTTAGAGCTACAGGAGGAAACAAGACCAAGACTCCTGGTCCTGGTGCTCAGTCAGCACTTAGGGCTCTTGCACGTTCTGGCATGAAAATTGGGCGTATTGGTAAGAGATTTATCCTCTGTTACTCAAAGATTTTCTCGACTACTGAAGTTGTCCTTACGAATTCATTTTTTATTCGGTTTTTACCTCTTTGTGCAGAGGATGTTACTCCAATCCCTACGGACAGCACTCGTAGAAAGGGAGGCAGGAGGGGGAGGAGGCTGTGAATCTTCGCTTGCTCATTTCGTCTCTATGTGTGTGGTAGTAGTGTATTGGTGTTGGATCTTTTCTTTGGGGTTCCAAATGTTTCGTAGCAGTAGTTCAGCAGACGTTTCCTTATCCAATTTTGTTGTTAGTCCTTGTCAAATTTTACAGACAGATATCTATGCTTAAGCAGACTGGCATATTGCAGGTTTTGCACCTAGATCTTTGCTTTCGTATCATATATATGAAGCTGCGTTACAATTGTAGAGTCCTGCAGATGCTTTTCCTGTTGTGAATGATCCATGATTTGAGAAAACATTAGAATTGGGCTGTGCTGGCGTTTAAAATAATAAGCAGGAGCTCTGGGAATTCGACTTTTTCGGTCGACCGCGGTAACAGCTGCTCAGATCATTTTGTGCTATTTAAAATTGCTTTATACTAGTGTTTTCCCTTAGATTTTAGACTGTCTCGCTTATCCCCGGTGGAGCACCAAGCGCCTGCCTTTTGTATAGGGCATGAATCCGGAATCCCTTGGTAAGATCTAGGGACGCCAAATGACTCTTGCCGAGAATAGAATACCTAAGCTGAAGTTAGGCTTGAGTTCGAGTTGGGCTTATATTTAGGGATGGCAACATACCCATGGGTTTCTTATTATCCAACTCAATTGGGTTGGGTATGAAATCCAAATAGATGGATATGGGTAGAGCTTGATGTGTTTGTACCTATACCCATTTACTTTGGGTTGAGTTGGGTTAATATCAAATGGATTTGTACCCATGCCCAAATACAAATTACGTTTTGGTACCTAAATTTTTTTGGTCTTACATTTTGGTACCTAAACTTTTCAAGTTTTACAAACAGGTCAATTTTTTGCATGTGTAGTTAAAACACTCTCGAGTAAATGGATATCCATATCCAACCTATACCCATTTAGATTATGGAAGCAATATTCATACCTTACCCAAACCCATCTATAAACCCCCAAATCCATATGCACTTCACCCATACCAAACCCATAGGTGGGTAATTTGTCATCCCTACTTATATTGTTAATCAGCTTGTTCTTGCAGATATAGCTCGAGCTAGGGATGGCAAAAATATCCGTAACCGTGGATATCCGCCCGAATCCGGCCTAATCGGGTAGGGTAAAATCCGAACCCGAAAGACATTTAGTGGGTATGGGTAAAACCCGAACCCGAATATTTCGGGTAATGGGTGGGCATGGATTTCTCACTATCCAACCCGAACCCGCCCGATTATACACATGCATATGTATTTAATCTAGAAATAATCATTATTTTTCTCTAACATATTTTATATATATCATATAAATATAATATTTTCATGAAATTGTGTACTTTTACTTAATTTTCTTCATTCTAGTGAATTAGTGTCGTATTGGTTGGAGTTATGAATTGAAATTATTAATTGAAATTATTAATTTTTCCTCTTACGTAATGTGAGAATCCGTGTGAATTTTAGCTATTGGTTGGAGTTACGAATTGAAATTATTACCCATGGATAACCGTGGATACCCGAAACCCGAACGGGTATGGACATGGTTTTGATTTTTTACCCGACCCATTGCCATCCCTAGCTCGAGCTTGGGTTCATAAACAAGCTCAACAAGTTCACTCAATAAGTGAGCTTAATGAGTCAACGTGGATCACACACTCATTCCATGAACGGGCAGCTTATGACTGTCATCGTTTATCCTTGGCACTCTCCATTATTTTCTTTTTATCTCCCGCCATATAGTTGGAACATTCTTAGTCAGATCCCAATGTTTCTACTTTCTAGTAGTTCATTGCACGAGGTTGAGATACCACCAATTTTGTCATTTCTCCATCTTGGATGTAGGCCTCCTCCAAAATTTGCGGTTGCGCAATCAAGCACTCTTCTCCACTCATTTCGACCATCGCAAAACGAGTTCTCCTTACGTCAATAATCTTCACTTGACAATTATTCGTTCTAGTTGCTGATGTTGCAGTGTTTCCTTCCATTATCATCTTATGAAAATAGTTGCGAGCAAAGTGAACCTATCTTGATACAATTGAAACATTCGTTGCTTCACCTTTGTGACTTCTCATCTCCTTCTATGTTTTTGTGCTTCACCTTTGGCCTACTCTATGTGATCTTCTTCCCAGATCCAGCCTTCCTTCGTGTGATTCGTGCGAGCAAACACTTTAGCTAACGACTTTCAAGCCTCTGATGGTGTCTTACCTTTCTTGATACACGACAACAAGGAATCATCTACGATAATGTATAGAATGAGTTTCCAACTCTGACATTCCATTTATGAAGGCTCTCAACTTTGGTAGGTGGTGCGGTTTGAGTCTCGCCCACGATCCCCCATAGATCTTGTCCATGCGAGCTCGTGAGGAACCTTTTCTTTCTGGCGTAACTGCGGTGGAACATGAAAAAAGATTACGGTCGCGTAATATAAGGGTCGGAAGTACAGTAAACTCGGCCAAAATATGACACCCGAAGGACCCGCCCCTTCTTCTTCAGTAAAGCCGACCTCTTTTTCGCCAGTGCTGACGCAGTGCGCACGTAGATAAGGAAAGAAACATAAAATTTCATAGGAGTACTTATAGGTGTCAATCGGGCGGGTTCGGGCGGGTTCGGGCAGGGTGCAATTGGGTTCAGGTTCAAACGGGTTGCGGGTTCATCGGATTTGGGTTAATCGGGTTTGGGTTCAAACGGCTTGCGGATTAGTCGGTTGCGGGTTCGGGTTCAATCGGGTTGCGGGTTCATCGGGTTTTGGGTCGGGCGGATCGGATTTCGGGTTGTTCGGGTCAGCGCATCGAGTAACTTACTCATTACTCGTTATCAACTTACACATTTTATTACACTAATTTAAAATATTTTATCAACTTTTTAATCAATTTATTTCTACCTCGTATATATACACTTAATTTTTTGAAAACAATAGTCAAAATATTAAATCATTTTGTATGACTTGCAAACTTGTCATGTAATTAATGCACTGGCTAATACTAATGGTGATATCCATATTTGCAACCAAAAGATACCATTAATTGTTTATTTGATGTTTTAGTATTATTTTAGTAGTAATTGGATTAAAGTATCTCGTCTAGTATAACCAAGCAATCTGGTATTTGGCGTGTGGTATTTGGCAAAAGCAGAGTGATAAAAAGGAGTTATTTCGAAATAACTCATTTGCCAACTAACTTCAGTAAACTGTTGTCAAACGAGTTATTTGTAAAATTGTTCGAATTATCCTAAAAATTGAACCATTAAATATTAACTATCAAATTTAGTAAAGTTATTGTTACTTCAATCATAACTTACTCAATAACATATATCCTATACACTTAGCCTTACCCTCAATCGATAATATTAAATTAGTATATGCTGATGATTGTATACCCTAAACCATCAATACATTATACACTAACAACATACCCTATACCCTAACCATATGTCCTTATGAGTTGTGATTTTGCTAGTACAGTTAATTTAAAAGTGAAATTCATATTTTGATTTTCAAAACATAGATAAAATGTGATATTTGCTAGTTGCTATACTCTCACCATATATCCTATAGTCTACACCATATACCTTGTACCCTAACCACGTACCATAAACATAAATTAAAAAGGGATAACCTGTCGTTAAAGACTTCAAATGACTTCAAGTGAACATATGTTATTAAAAACTTTGAACTGTCAAACCCATCAATATCTTATACCCTAACCATATGTACATTATACCCTATACCCTAACCATATACTTTATATCCTAAACAACGAACCGTCAAAGATTACTTATCAAGTTTAGTATAATTGTTGTAATAAATGGTTACTTTATTTATTAGCCCATAAATAATTATATATATATATGGGACTACTTTGATGCACTTACAAAAATGAGTGCGTCAATGCACCCAACTCAAAAACTAGTCTTAAGATGTCGGATTTTTTTTTTATAAATGAGGAAATTTTATTGAGACGGACAAAAAGAAAATAAGACAAAAATTCAACCAACAGTTGAAAAGAGTAAGGAAAGAAACAAAACTGAAAACAGCAACGAAAAAACACTAAGAAAAACCCCAAAGATGGGACGAAAACTCAAACCAAGAACGACACAAAAAGAGAAGACTAAAAAAACAAAGAAAAAGCGCTCCTCAACTGATACTACATTACAACAAAAACACACTCAAGAACAAAAACTATCTAACTAGTGGATAATTAAGATGCCGAATTTTGTATTTTAATTTGTAGAATCAGTGTAATAGATGATATAACATATGATAACAACTAATTAACGGATTACCCTAAGCCCTAGACCTCCAATTTTGAGTTCTATCCCTAAACCCCAAATTGTAAACGCTAACCCTAAATCTCTAAACTCTAAATCCTTCAAATTAAAGTAATTCTTTAATGGTTTTTGTGAAAATTCATGTGCGTTATTGTTCATCACATCATAAGTGATGATCGACATCATTTTAACATAAATCGCATGTTTAAAATGACGGTTATGAAGCGAGTGCATTGAATGCACCCAAAAAAGTGAGTGCACCGAAGATGCCACCATATATATATATATGATTCAGGCTAGCGTACGGTGTACGCCCGTCGAGTTTTACCATAAAAATAAATTTAACTAGTCATGCCTCCATATAAAAATTAAAGATTCATATTTCAATGGCTAAAATTTTGAAAAACCAAAATGTTGAAAACACCTTATTTGTTTCCTTCTTTCTTTTCACAAAAAAAAAAAACTAAAATTTCCCTCCTTCTTTCTCCTTCCATAAATTAGAAACACTCAATTTTTCGTCCTCCTTTTCTTCCATTAAATTGAAAGAACCAAATTTCCCTCTTCCTTCCTTCCACAAAAAGTTGAAAACTCAAAATTTTCTTCCTTATTTCTCTGTCATAATCAAAAGAGCCAAATTTTTCCACTTCTTTCTCTTCCACAAATCAAAACCACAAAATTCTCTCTTGTTTCTTTTCTAAAAAATTCAAAGAACCAAATTTCTCTGTTCTTTCTCTTTCCAAAAATTCGAAGACACCAAAATTTTCCTCTTCTTTTAAAAACATCAAATTACCAAAATACATTACTTTACTTTATTTATATTTAATTAAGAATTTTATTGAATAGTTAAATTAACCAAAATTTTAATTTTTTATATTATATTAATATTTTTCATGATCTCAATTATTAATTCTTCATTATTAATATCGACATTATGTTGATTTTATATTTAATTTTTTTATTTTGTTAAAGAACTTAGTATTTTTTTGGTAATTAAGAACTTAGTGTTCAAGTGACCTTCATGTTTCAATTTTGTAATTTTCTTAAAATACATAATATCAAGTGAGTTTCATATTTTTTAAATTCCCTATAATGAAAAAAATAATTTTACCTAAGTTTAGAATGAAAAACTTTATTTTGAAAAACTATGTATTGTATAATATAATAATTATTTAAGTGGATTAAGTAAAGTTCGGTTTGAGTTGGTCGGGTTACGGGTCAATTGGGTTCGGGTCAATTGGGTTCGGGTTAATCTGGTTACGGGTCAGTCGGGTTGCGGGTCAATCAGATTCGGGTTAATCGGGTTGC